GCTTTTTCTTGAATCTCAGGATGGAGAACCATGTTCAAAACAAAGACGACCATGGTGGCCCAAGTCTGGTGCAAGTCAGAGTCAGCAGTGTATCAAATATCAGAGAGGAGCAAAGTTACCGTATCGGCCCCTGCGATGAAGATGGCGCCTGCTGCTCCCTTGATGTCGTCAAGTGTCCATTCATTGTCGAGTCCTCTCTTGGCGTTGGAGGAATAGGTTTCCAATAACCTATGTGCGAAGGAAGGGCTGTCCTTGCCGCGAGCCTTGACTTGTTAGTGCTGCGGGCATGGACTTGACTAGGAGCATACACTCACCAACTCTTCCTGCGCAACAGCAAATGGAACGTCATGCAACTTGCGTATAGCCCATCCCCATTCTCGCGCGAATTTCAGCGACCAGTCTCGAACTAGCCAGACGGGCAAATGACGAGCTAGAACAAAGGCCAACGTTACTAAAAGAGTGAGGGTTGGAATTGTGTTGCATCCGTAACTTACCAGGGGGAAAGATGTCGACGATGCTGTTGGCGGGTGCACCACCATTTCCAGTTGCGTACATGGCATCTTGGGCAATCTTGACGTACGGGTCGTTATCCTCATGAACGTCAACTCCATAGCTCACTTTGAGGACGATAGCAACGGCGAATCTGGAATGGTCAGCTACGTATCAACAGTCAGCCAAAGCCTAGAAGCGGTTCACCTTTTGATGGACATTTGCCAGCTGTCAGGGTTGCTGACGATGCCATGAACGGATTTGCGGGCCTCGGCGACCTGCAGAGGGTACCACTGCCGGACATTGGTGTTACTGAAAGTGGTCTGCAGCAGCTTTCGGTGCATCTGCCAGCGGGGTCCGAAGGGCAGGAAGGTCAGCGTCTTGCCCCAGCCCATGCTAAGGAGGGGACAGCCTGCATCAGCATGCCGACAAGATAGCTCAGGGTCGAAGTCGGGGCGACTTACACCTCAAACAGAGTGAATCTGGGTCTGTCACAGTAGTTGGCCCCCCTACGATCGAGAAGATCCTTGGCAGCCTCGACACTGTTAAGCACCACGATGGATTGGCCGAGAGATTTGACGTGAATGACATCCGAGTCTATTATCACGTTAGTCGCGAAGAACTCTCAAAGAGGTGTATAGAGGGAGAAAGCAGACTCACCATACTTTCTTGCCCACTCTGCGTATGTTTGGGCAGTGTTCTGTTTGGGTATAACACGGAGGTGGCCAAGGAGAAACTCGCCCGGCGGACCCGGAGGTAATGGCGGATGGCCCCATGATGACCGCGGTCTTATCAAGATGAGGAGGACTACAATAGCTACACAAGCGGCTGTTGTAGTCCATGCTGAGGTGCTTTGGGTCGAGTCCATTGGAATTGTGAAGTTGGACAAGTCGAAGTTGTTGGGGTTAAGGGTCCGAGTCCACCAGCAAGAAAGGCAAGAGGAGTCCGGTGATGTGATTCCGGACAAACTTGCAACGAGCACAGAGGCTCTAGAATAAGGTAAAGAGCTGTTTTGAAGTCGGAAACAGACATCCAGCAAAGGAGAACCGTCGAAGGTGAATGAAGTCGACGCTAAGGGCATGGAGCTTGGGCAACCGGTGAATAGGAAGCCGCTTATTCGTGAAAGACACGGGAAGAAGGCGGCCATCTGGGTCTAGGACATGGGCCTTGCCTACTTGGTCCAGGAGCGCATAAGAGTGCAGTGTCGTGTGTCGTGTGTCGAGCAATGGAAGGTGGAAGCCTTCCAGGATGGGAGACGGGGCAAGCACCTCTCCACTGATGACTGGAGGCAGAAATGGGAGAGAGAGCAGGAGCGTGCCTACCTTACGTTGAGAGACAGGCAGAGGCAGATGGGTAGTGAGGTAGTGGAAGGTAAGGGAAGGAAGGTACTTCTGTGACATAGAAAGGGAAGGCACGTCGCAAGTCACTCGTTCTCTTCTTGCCTTCTCTTGATTTTGCTTTTCCCGAGCAGTTTCTTGAGTTGTTCAGGACGTTGGTGTTTGCTCTCGGTCTCTTTTGCTCTTTCCCATTCCGTCTCTGTCCCTTCACACACGCTGTCTCTCTCAAATAAGTCATTCATCCCATCTTGACCCAACAACATCTACACTTTTTCCTCCACACACACACCCACACATAGACACACAGACTCAGACACACACACATACGCACGCCGCACTCGCTTTCCACACCAACACAACCCCGGCCTGGACCTAGGCATGACGGCGCGCCAAATGCAGCATGGCGTGGCGGGCGTGGGAGACAATAGGGGATCGAGTCTAACGGTATGCCGTATGCACCCTCAAAGTCTAATCCGGCGTAATGTCGTTCACTTCCACGTGTCGAACAGAACGAAACAAACGGTCGGTTCAAGCCGGCGCCCAAACCGGCGGTGTCAGCGGATGCCGAGTGCTGCACGGCAAGAACAGCGCAGCCATTCCGCCCATGGCGCCGAAAAGATGGCTGCTGCTCTAGCACTCTTTCATCTAGGCAGCGGAGGGGAGGCCGAGATTTGTTTGCTGGGTAAGGTACGGAGTACGGACGGGGATATCGAAGGTCCAGACTCTTCTCTCTCTCCCGTCTACGGAGCAAGGCTTCCATGGGTGGCTCCCCAGCAGCTGAAGATCCCGCCCGTCTCGGCGGACGTCCGGTGGCTGGTGGATGGACTGGAACTTCTGGAACTTCTGGAAGGTCTAGGAATGGACGGCAAGACAACCTGACAGGTTCCATTGCAACACCCGATCGGATTGAGCATGAACGGTACGGGTACGGAGTAAGGGGGTCGGATACGCTTCCACTAACCTTCCACTCCTTGAAAGGTGGCACCGTTCTTCGGCTCGGCTCTTTATTTGTGTATGTGCTGTGTCCGGAGTACCTGGCCCAGTGTGCCAGCCTCCCAGCTGCGAACTCCCAAGGTCATAGGTGTCAGTCTTTTCGCCTTGTTTCGGCAAGGACTAGGGATGGAAAAATTGGGGAAGGGGGACATGTTAGGCATGGCATCTGTCTCTCTAACTGACTAAGGTAAGGTGTCGGGTTGAATCTCTCTTTATTCCTGCGGATAGACATCTTGTCAGAAACCGTATCGCGTTGCCACATCAAATCACTGCACTGCACTGGGCCTCAAACGACCTGATCATGCTGACCAGAAGCGAGAAAAACTAGCCGACAGTGGACCCTGCCTTTTGTCTGTTTTCCCTGCTTTAACAGCTTTTTCTGTGGAAATTCTCCAGTAACGCCAACAACCCAAAGATGCACTATCTGCAAAGACTGCAAAGACTGGATCTCTTTCCGGTCCCTCCCGGTCCGTAGGGCCAATCCCTCGAGCAGGCCATGGAGAGGATTCCCACCCGGCCCCCCTGCAACATCACTCGGCTGCCCCTCCCACCCTTACGCTACAGAATTCCAACCGCGAACCTGGCAGCCAATGCCCCGCCAAGTGCATCATCATCCCACCTCCGTTGGCGTTGGCTTTGGCGGGGTCCTGTCACCGTTCGTCGGCTGGGAAAATTCAATGCCTCACATCCATTTCTCTGCCCCTCACCACCCGATCTACCGTTATCTCACCTCAGTACCCGAGCTGCATTCTTTCGCTCGGAAAGAGAGGCCTCTGTCTCATTAAGATACCCGATTGCGACCGCACGATCCGAATCATAAAATATCTCAGGTTGCCTTTTCAGGTTGTCTTTGACGTTGGCGATATCTTGATCATCTTTATCGCCGAGGAGGGAAAACACGAGAAACCGAACACCGAGAAAGAAGATCGAATTACCAGAAATGGCTGCCACCAAGACCCCCCAGATCACCGTTCTCGGCTCCCTCAACATCGATTTGACCTCCTACGTCCCCCACCACCCCCTGCCGGGCGAGACCCTCACCTCGAACTCTGTTGTCATTTCGCCTGGAGGAAAGGGCGCAAACCAGGCCGTCGCCTGCGCCAAGCTCTCCCGCTCCCGCGAAGCCCCCAACGATGCCGCCGCCGAAACCGCCTCCGTCTCCATGATCGGCGCCGTTGGCAGCGACTCCTACGGCGACCTCCTCCTCAAGAACCTCGGCGAGCACGGCGTTCGCACCGATCGCATCGCCGTGGGTAGCGACCTCAAGACCGGCATGGCCATCATCGTCGTCGATGAACCCACCGGACAGAACCGCATCATCCTCGCTCCCGAGGCCAACCACGCCGTCACCCCCGAAAAGTTCGGCGCCCTCCCCGAGACCCTCGACCCCAAGCCCGACCTGCTGGTGATGCAGCTCGAGGTACCCCTCGAGACCGTCCTCGCCGCCCTCCGCTCCGCAAAGGCCGCCTCCGTCCCCGTCCTCCTCAACCCCGCTCCGGCACAGCGCCTCCCTGACGAGGCCTACGACGGACTCGCCCATCTCGTCGTCAACGAGACCGAGGCCGCCATCCTCTCCGGCTGCGACGAGTCCGAGCTCGACACCTCCGAGGGCCTCAAGCGCGTCGGCGAGTGGTTCATGGCCAAGAAGGTCAGCAACGTCATCATCACCCTCGGTGGCCGCGGCGTCTACTACGCCAACAAGGAGGGCGCCGCCGAGCTCATCGCCGCCCAAAAGGTCAAGGTCGTCGACACCACCGCCGCCGGCGACACCTTTGTCGGCTCCTACTGCGTTGCCGCCGTGACCGCCCAGGCCAAGGGAGTGGCTTTCGATATTTCCTCCGCCATCAAGAGCGCCAACAATGCGGCGGCCAAGACGGTCGAGCGTAAGGGCGCGCAAACATCCATTCCTTGGAGAGATGAGCTGCAGTAAAGAACGGCTGCATGAGATCGAGTAAAAAAAGTAAAACGTAAAACCATAAAACCGTATACCAAAATAAAAACAAAGAAAAGCATTAAACATTCAGGCGTCAGCGGACAAAATTATAGTGAAAAGGGTGAATGAACACCATACGAATCGTAATTCGGGTGCTTCTAATTCGAATACTCTTAGACGCACACGTGTGCATGTATGCCTCCTACTCCTATAAACCAAGACTGAAAAAGCACAAGCTGCGAGCCCTCTCAAGACCACCAGCTCGTCCAACTCCAACGGCTGAATGACTTTCTTCCCTGGCCGCGAGGGGACTCTCCTCCATGCGCCTGTCTGTTCCCTGCTTCATGACCTTCATCTCGGGTGCCGGCGACTGAAGATGCCAAGCCTCTCAAAACGCCCGGGCCTATCGAGCGCGGGCTTCTCAATGCGGTCAAATGATTCGCAAACCTATTCTTGAATCCGGCCCCGGTTGCCGCCTCGCCGGGGCACGTTGCAGTTGATGGCCACCGCTTCCCTTCTTCCGCGACTTCTTCCGCGCGAGGCCTACCCCAGTCCAAGTCCACTGCCAACGTCCTCCGACGCCCGGCAGACCACCCATTGTACATTGCATCTGGTTTTCTGACTGTCACGTCTCTACCGAGGCTTGCCTCTCGCCTAGGAATTACCGGAGGGCTCAGCATATCCATTGGTTCGTCTCCCAAAGACAAGTCCATCCTGGACTTCGCCCTGAGGGGCCTTTGTGGTGATATACGATGAATCACATTACGAGCTTTCGATGGCCCCCAATTTCCAAGGATGATGCTCGCAATGGGATTGTATGTTGGTGCTGGACTTGGGGACCATGGTGATCGGTGATTATGTTGCTTGACGATGGCCGTAGCAAACGTTTCTAGTTTTGTGCCGCCTTCTGCTATGTTGTCGATGATGTCATTTCGACTTTGGCAAAAGAATGCTGAATGGTTGTACTTGACCGAAACGCGTATATACTCGAGGTTTGAATCTCCTAACTGATATTCCAAGTCATCAATCAGCTCATCTGACCTGTGTTTGACATGGCCTTGCTGCGTAGTCACGGCAGTGGAGCGAGGCGATTTGACTAGGACTTGCGCGAGCAGCAGTACAATGTCGTCATTACCTAGTGTTCTGTGCCACAATCAGACAATTATCAGAAACACCCGGTGAAAGTACTCACGTTTGAATAGGATCATCCCGAATTGTCTCAAGAATACAACTGTTGCCAAGCGGAACGATTTGGATATCCATGCTGTGAATACACCCATGCCTGAAAGGATCTAAGTTGATGTTAGCATGGAGATCAACATCGAAATTTACGTCTACGTACCTGTAGAAGATGGATTATTGAGTCTGCTCAGCAAGGCAGACTCATATTCAGCAGAGGTATCATCGCAGAGTAAGCCGTTGAGAGGTTGACACAAGTGGCCTGAAACCTCGACGGCAACCCAGAAGCTTGCCGTGCTGCCATCGAGAGCCCTGATTTCTGGGGTGATACGAATATTCGGTACGAGCACAAGGGAGCTGTGAGACGTGTTTCTCTCTCCTGAAATATTTGAGTGATATGAAGTGCTTGCTTGAGCAGCCAGAGACGAGTTACTAGAAGACCGCATGAAATTAGAAGCACCGCGTTGTGGTGCTTGGGATACTGCCTCAAGGCCATCATCGTCATCGAATGGCCCAGGAATAGCATGTGAAACGAACTTATCCCAAGCTGGTGGTCCTGATTGAGATCAGCAAGTGTTATTCAATCTCAAATCCAGACTCACGATGCGCTTGTGGCCGTCCGCTGGGTAAAGAATGTTCCTAGCCACCATTCTTCGAACGAGGCATCTTCCCGGTCCCATGGTTCCCTCGCTTCTTCCTCACAACGAGTGACTCGCCAAACGGTCCCGAGACACCGTCTACACCCTCGTCAGTCTCGGCAACTGATTGCGAGCCGCTTGCATCTCCTCGGGACTCCCCTCCAGAACCACGCCCGAGTCTCTTGAGAACCTTGAGCGGCTGCGGGACTTCGGGACCGCCCCTCTCCGATCCGTTCTCCGCCTTGTCGGCGAGAAACTCCAGCTCAAACGACTGGCCCTCGAGGGATGCCATGTCTCGGGTGGCGGCTGGATCTGGATCGTGGTAGTAATGGCCTGTTGGGGCACTAAGGCTACCTCGTGGATGCCGCGCCGGATCGAAGGTGTCGGCGTGTCCTGGTACGTCCTAAGACTTTCGAGATCCGGCCACGAGTCGGCGTAGTGTAGCGTGTTGGTTGCGAGGCTGGTGGTGGCGCTGTCGTTCGATTTGACGCGTCGGAGGCCGAACCAGCGTCTCGCTGGCTTGGGTTCGATGGCACCGGCTGCGTCCCTGAAGTTGCGTGAGATGAAGCGGGCGGTGAAGCCTGCGATGAGTAGCATGGGTACGACGGTGACGAGAACGATGAGAACTGCGGCTACGGGAGTTGAGAGGCCCATAGTCGAAGTAACAAGACGGTAAGTAATGCACGTGATGATCTGACGTCTTGGAATGATGATCTATTATTCGGGGGCCATTGAAAAGTTGTATGTAGTAAGGCTATGTGGAAGAGGAGAATGTACCTACGCAGGCAAGTCTACATCCCCTCCGCTACAGGGGAAGGTGAACGTGCATGCTAGGTGAGCTAGGTAATGTCATGAAGTTTTAGAGGTAGTCGCTTTCAAGCAAAGTCAAATCCGTCATTCCGACGCAGGCACGCCCTGCATGCTTCTACGTTTTTCAGGTGTCGCCGGGCTGCTTCCCAGTGTACGCTGCAAGTTTTCTCTCACAGCGTCCACGTCGCCTTCCTCCATTGCAAGGAAGTTGATCTGTTATCATTCATGGTCAGCAGCCGTCCTAGGTCCATTGTTCACGCATCTGAAGGGAAGAAAGGTCACTCACCAGGTCATCCCCACCCGACGTCGCCCCGTACAAGACCGCCTCAGACAGGGACGTCGCGATGCCTTTCTGTACTCTATCCTCCCAAACGCCTTCCCAATTCCATTCCCCAGGCTTTCTGGAGACGGAAGGCGCACTACCGATAGGTTTCCTAACAATGGAGTGAACACTCCCGCTGGTGGAAGGCTTCCTCTCAGGTAGCGGAGGCGGCACCTCCACCACCTTTGCTTCCCCTTCCGCTTCGCCTTCCTTCTTCTCCTGAGCACCATCAGCAGCCTCTGCCACTTTGTCGCTCTCTTGCTCCTTTTCACTCTTCTCCTGCGGTACCGGATCGCCAGGAAAACTCTTGCCCGTCTGTCGCTGACGTGTCCGCCACCCATGCCACGCGCCAGGGTTTCCCGCAGCTTCGAGAGGCACCGAGTCTAGCACCTTTTCGTCATCGAACGTGCTCCGGATATATCGCAAGACCTCGTACGTGGAGACCTCTCGCCTCGAAGTGTCGAGATACCCAGGCCGTCCTCCGAGAGGCGTCGCCTTTGAGCTCGGCGTCGACGTAGTGCTGGGTGGCTCCCCACCGCCTCTGGCAGGCGTCGCGGGCGGTTGTTGTTGCTGCTGGCCGCTGACCTGTCGGCTCCCCGCGTTGCTTTTGCTGCCCCGCCCAAACCAAGCGGGAAACCCATGTCGTAGACTGAAACCTCCGGGCGGTAGGCGCTCTGCGTCGGTGGCGCTTACCGTGCCGTTGTCCTGAATGTCGGTGGTGTACATGTACGTGGTTAATGGTGTGATTAGGGGGTGGAAAATGTCTGTTGAAAAAGTGACCAGTGGCGGTAGTCGAGGATATGTGTCTGGGAACGAAATCTGAAATCTTAGGATAGCCGTAGCGTAGGGTCCTGCGAATAAGTCTCAGTACTCTCTCCGTTCTTCTCTTCACTCTGGGTCTTCCTCTCTCATCGTGAATAAAGTCCGGGGGCTTCCATACCGTGCCTCACAAACATGACGCCGGACCATAGCATCGGGTCTCCTGGCGTCAAGCTCACAAAGACCCCCTCCGGACAAGCCTGCTTCAGGCCAGCACTAGTGTACAGAGGTTAGCAACTTACACGCTTAAATCAGACCTCAGGGGGTGACGCTCGATGGGGTCTGGGTTTGGGGGAAACTCACAATTCGGCCAGGAGGTGCTGTCGCCGCAACGACGGCATACTGCCCATCCGTAGACTCGCCATTTTTTCTCATAAACAAAGCATCAAAAATAAGGACTTGATGAGGATGAATGTGCCGCGATGAGAGGAAGCCCGTCTTGAGACATTGAACAATGTCTCATTCATGCGTGAAGCAAGGGCGGTCATGAAAAGCGGTAAGAAATTCTGCCGGCCCAATTCCTTATCGTGATAAGCGAAATCTTATCTTATCAGTGATAGCGAGGGCTGTTTTTACCCCACCTCCACTGTACGTCACAAGCTACCCCGCCAAAAAGTGTTCACGGCAGGTGTAGCGATCTCGGTCATCTCGGCCGTCGCGTCGGCGTCACTCTTGTCGAGGCTGGCGGCTCGGGCGGAGAGAAATTTCAGTGGATGAGGCGTGAATTACTGAGTTCTCAATTCTCTGTGTATACGAGGGTTCGCGAACCGCAGCGTGATTCGGCCATGCACACAACAATGACGTTTGGGCAAAAGGAAACCCCACGATGGCATCGATCCGTTCAGAAATAGAGGGGTAAAATTTTGGTCTCATGATCTATTCACATCCGAGAGTTGATATCCCAATATGCAGGTGACTGATGCTCGTCACTCTTACAGCCCTGGCATCTTTGTGCCACGTTTACGTGTAGCCCCCCAAAGCAGTGATGCCTTCGAAGGGATGAATAATGACTTGCGCGAGAGGCTTCTTACTGGGCCATTATTTCCCGAGGCGGGCCTCGATCTTGCCCTTCTCCTTCGCCTTGATCTCGGCCAACTCCTCCCTGGTACTGTCGAATCTCGCGTTCACCTGGTTGAAGGGGTTCTCCGGGCTCTTCTCAAACTCCTTTCTAATCTTGTCCTTCTTCTGTTGCTGACGCAGGCCCTGGCCCGAGCCGTCGTCCTCCATCTCCTTGAGCCGACGCTCCTCGAATGCTGCGTACGCCGCCTTGAAACGTCGCTCGGGGTGGCGGTCAATCTTTGCGTTGTTGTCGGAGCCTGTGAGGGAGAGGGCGTCGAGGGCGTTGTCGATACCGGTGGCGTTGAGCGCGGCAAGCGAGCCTCCGCTCTGATCGCCGTCCAACTGTGACAGATCGAGCCCACGTGTTTTCTTGACGGCCGTCTTGTTGTTCTTGGGTCCAGTCCGTCCGGGGGTGTTGGCCTCCTCCTCTTTCAGGAGCGCATCCTTCTCGGCCTTCTTTCTGGCTGCTTCTGCCTTCTTGGCGGCTTCCGCTTCCCTAAAGGAGGGATGATGTGGTCAGCCATGGCACTGGGTTGGTTTCCTCTCTGTGGGGTACTGGAGATCTCGAGAGATGGGGAAACGTGATGCATGGAAGCCGGTGGTGTCACATGTGGGACACCACATCGTGGCGGCCGAGGGGAGGTTGCCGTAACGTTGTTCGTGACTCCTACTCACTTCTTTCCAGCTCCCTTGGCGCCCTTGCCCCAGTCAGCGTCTTCAACGGCAGCCCTCTTCGCGTCCTCGGCAGCGGCCTTCTGTGCAGCAGCATCGGCCTTACGGGCGTTCCCGGCAGCCTTTTTGCTATTCTCACCTGCTCCCTTCTTGCCAGCCATGTTGTCTCCTTGTGATGCTGGGTGTTTGGTTCGGTCACTGGTCGGCGATATGCGCGATATGCGATGCGATGCGCGGGTTTGCAACAGTCGTCCGTATGCGCGTGCTTTATGTAAGGTAGTTTGCTTCTCTGTATGGCCGCGTGCGTGGTTCGTGCCTAGTGCCCGGGATGTTGCAGTCGAGCAAGTGGTGCGTGTGAGGGATGTTGTGAAACCCGAGGGGAGATGGGAGAGGGGAGAAAACTAGTTGGATGTCGTTGTCTCCTCCGCAGACCTATGGGCTAAATGGAGAATGGGTAAAGCGGAGCGGAGCGTGAGGGAGGTAAGGCAGCGTAGCGTTGGACCCTCCGTGTTCACTGGTGTAAGGTGGTGTAAAGTAGCTAGGGCCGGTGCGGCAGGCCAGGGATGAATGGGGTGAGGTCGTCAAAAGAAGCTGGCGGGAGGGTGGTGGACAGTGTAAAAGCCGGTGATTTGGACGGTACCTACCTTGAGGTAGGTAGCCGGGTCCTTTTCCAATAAAGGTACCTCGGACTAGTACCTCTGGCAGGTATTGTTTCCAGGCTCTTTTCATCCGATGCAAATTGTGGCTCTCAAGCATTGGATGACCGGGACAGATAGCCTCTACCAGATTTGGAGACGGCGACCAACAGACACGATCGCTCGAGGACTCGGTGCGTAGGTAGCCACAGCATGGCTTTAGGGGTATGCCAGCAGCTACCACCTCGTGTTTTCCAGCTAACTCATTCTACTTCATCTACTCATGTCGCACGGATTCAAATGTCATGTCGAACCGAGGGAGCTGAAGCAGCGAGTCCCTCACACAATGAAGGTATCTCGGTGATGAAATCGCAACCGAGGTACAGTGTCGGTCTTTATGCAACACACCGTGCGGGCGATAGTGGGGACAGCCCGTCACCCCGTTTGCAAACGTGCGTCACACCATACGACTGACTGACTACCTACCTGACTTACCTTACGGAATACCTACATATTCATTCGTACCTACCTATCCGTATTACTTACCTACCTATACACATCCATAAACACCTACCTTACCTTATATGGATACTTTCCCTTCAAGCTATTGGCACATGTAAAGTAAGGTAGGCAGCTACATAACATACGCCGCGCATGGCAGCATCGCCTGTCGTCCTCCCCGACCATCTAAATCCTCATTAGCACAGCATTCGATAACTCGCACGCACGAGGCAAGATTGAGTAGGCCGGCATCGATGCAAGTTACTCGCCCTTAGATTACCCTCTTTCTCTCTCTATTCCTCTCTTTACCGATCCCTATAAACGGAACGAAAGCCGGATAGCGTCTTCCGTATCCCCCGACCATTGTTTGAACAGATCGAGTCATATCCCTTCGTTCCGCCTGTCCAACGCCAATCTATCCGATCCAGTCCATACATTGGGCATGAAGCGTCTTTCATTGTGCTACTCAAATCAGCATCCCGTGTTTGGTGAGCTTACATTGATGCATGTCTTCGCGCCCCCTTCGCGCCTTCTTCCGCGCCCTCGCACAAACATGTACCAGGGACCTAATCACCACCTACCGAGCTACTCATGCCTGTGCTTTCACCGAGTTGACACATCAGCCACTCAGAGGGAGCTTCGGTGAACATGACCTGCAGTACCCTGCCCTTTTCGGTATCGAGACCTGCCATCGTAGGTCCGTCCAGTTGTGCCACGTGCCACTTTCTTTCTGGAGGCTTAGAGCTTGCAGGAATTGAGACGTTGCTAAGTCTGGCAGCTTTTCATACGTTTTCCCAGGGTTGTCTTTAGTGAATGGACGATTGACCCTGGAAATAGATCTGTCCCAGGCTCATCGGACCGCGCCTGCGTAGTGAGTCCCTTGGTGCTAATGCAGTGTTGCCTCTTCACCACCACAAGCCTGACTCTCTGTCGGCAACGTCAGGAATGGAATCTTCTGTTCTTCTGTTACACAAGAATGCGCAACCATAGTTCGTTGGTTGGTTCCGCAGCAAATAAGTGGGCGATAACCAACCGGAACCCAGCGGTTACATCTACACAGCAAAGGTCACACTGTCCTTCCTGGATCATACCCGCTGTGACAGAGTACTAATGGCGATCAATGTACGGATAACGTGCATACGCCCAACCTTTGCATAATGTGGGTTGCTAGAGAGGCAGGCGGATGTTTACCGAAGGTGCGTCCAATGTTATTCTCGGCAAGATACATTCCACAGTGAGTGATGAAGTACACCAAATAGGCATTTTACACGGTCTAGGTTGCTCTCTGAACGCTGTACAGTTAATCCCCTGATGCTTCCTTTGTAAAAAAAATTTCCCTGACAAAATAGGAAAGCAGAACGAGTAGGAATATACTAGAGCACGAGCAGAGACAAATGCGACTCGTTTCTTGAGGGTGCAAAAGACGGTCCAGCTCGCCATCACACATCTTCAAGTCCATTTCAGGTGTCTTCTATCAGTGATATTATGCCGCGTGTCTCTGTCTCCAGTGTTGTCAATATATCACGGCTCCTTGTGTCCACGTCAGCCCTCCGGTCTGACGTGTCCGCGGTGTTGTGGTGCTGTGTCGATGATTGACCACACGGAAGAGCGCCTGGCAAAGACTCCACGACCTTCAGCATCCGGGGGGGCAGAATAAGATTCCTGTCGGTACGGAGCAGAAGTTCCAGAATAGTCTCGGATAATTCAAAACACTTTCACCCCTGAGCCTTGTGAAGGGTGGCTCGAAAGCTTCTATGGCCCGGCCCGTCAAGGTCTGTTGTCTAGGGCTGATCAACCGTGGCATATGCCTTGATCTGAACTTCGGTGAGTCAACGGGCGAACCACCCCTTTGAGCAGGGTTCAGAACGTCGTCAACCGTATTGAGGCTCACGGTTCCCTGGGCTGACAATGAATTTTGCTGCGGTATAATCAGCGGTGTAAGCAAGTAATCACTGGCTCTAGGACCTGGAGTGGGACCCATGGCAGCCACGTATCGCAGCAACCGTAACGTCACCTTGTTGTTTCCCGTGAAGTATTGAGCACAGAGGCATCCGGACGCCCCGGACCCCCTAGTCGACCACGGGAGTGCTCAAGGGCAGTTAGCCACCCATTTGGAGTTTCCAAGGTCAAGCATGGATGCCAAGTTGAGAGAGCAAGGCGACCTTAGCCAGGTTTGTTGCTCTTAGCCGGGCAGCCTGCGGGGATAATTGCACGACGTCTGGTCGTGACAATAGTCGTATGACGTGACGCCATCCTTTTCCCAGGCGCTTGACATCACCTGCCAGGCTTGAAGAATAGTTGTTGAATGTCTTCATATCTGTACACTCGCGGACTGACGGAACCAAGAAGCACGTGTGGAATACGGAGTTGGCCTTCGAACCCTGTTAGGATATAGTTTGAGCCCGGAAATTCCGCTCCTAGGGAGCAGGCTAGGATGCCAAGTCCCCTTGCTCATCCTGCTGGCTCTGGTGTAGGCCACCCTTGCAAACTCCCAGCTCACGGTGTCAATGTAAGAAAAGAGATGGGCTTGCAGGCGGTGAGAGATCTACAGGGCTGTAACGAGTTGGTAAGTGACATGTCACATATCGATTACGGGGAAAACTTACCAGGGGGGCGCGCGCGCAGAACCCAATGTGGGAGTCAAGCTTTAAGGCTTCCAGCCTAGTGATTCTGCGGTGGAGAAGCACCCCCTTTCCTAGGTAGACAGAGCGAACCCTGTTTCTGGCGACCTACCGAGCCGGTGAGTCGCCTGACCGAAGGTGAGTATGGACTACTCGTTCCTCTTTCATGTGTCTGAACAAGGATTCCTGAGCCGACAGTTGCACAGACTCCAATCATCAGCTATAAGGAGCAAAAAGCAAGCGTTCGAAGAGTGTAACGCCAGAGCTCAAAGGCATGAAAGGTTTGCGGCGAGGGCTACCTAGCCAGGATCAGCTGATGCCCGTGGGTATGGTCAACAACATAATTCATTTCCCTTTCCAAGGTCGCTAACAAGACAAGGCTCGCGCTCCTCCAGCAGATCAGTACTCAGCAGACCCTGCATTATTGTAGATATGAAGCTGAAACTCATACGCCATGTATATCTGCACTGAGGAGTCAGCTGATACAGCTACGAGGACATCGAGAAGCTAGGAGGATAGACACGTGCATCTAATCAACCGTCTTACACTCAAGGTATACTCTCATGCGCATGAGGTGCCACGAAGGTTCTTTTATATATATACATATATATAAAAAGCTAAACTCGCCGTGAGCTGAAGAGTGTGCCTAGCTTATAGTCAACGAAACACATCATCTCAATGGGATGAGGTGCATCCAATGCGTACTTACCCCAGCTCGAACATTGAAGTAAGCAGCTGGCAAAAAGAATTTGTGAAAAAGATGTGAGCCAACCCTTGTACAATGGAGTCAAACCATAGCAACTCCCCGGCGTGGGCTCGAACCACGAACCTCCAGATTAACAGCCTGACGCGCTAGCCAATTGTGCCACCGGGGATACTCGAAACGAGTCAGTAAGAAAGGGACCTGGATCGTGGAAAACCGCGTCGTTTCCGGCGCATATGCATGGCGGAACTTCGTCACTGCTCAGATTTTTGAAAGTGTGCTCCAGGGTTAGGGCGTTTTTGAAGCGGGAACTTGTCGTGGACGGCATCGGGCCGCCCCATAGAAGTGGGTAGTAGTCAGTGCTGCAGACCAAAACTATGCTAACGGCAGCAGCAGATTGCTTGGTCGCATCAACAGATACATCCCACGATGTTGACGTTTTGTTGCCAGATGGTGGGACAGGAAGATGACTCAGTCGTCTAGGAAGCACCGGCGCCCTTATTGAAGAAACTCAATACTGACCCGGAGTGATACTGCAAGGGTTGCCTACATTCGGGCAAGGTTTGCGAAAGTTACCAGGCTCGGAATTCGTGGCTCTTCGGTGGGCAGACCAGCCTAGTAGACATAGCAATTGTGCTCCTCAAGATGGGGGCCTGGGCGTCGTCTGTATGCCCTGAAAAATGGCAGATCGTAACATGATCTGATGGAGAGCCAGTAGATCGAGTCGAAGCAGGAGCCAACTACTTACGCCTCAAGAAAGCAAAGCAACTAGCACAATTTGAGAATATTGGGCAGCAAGTGGGAGGGTGCCATGATGCGAAATGGTACCATGTCGGAAGTGATGGTGTAGATTGAGGCAAGCGCCTTCGTGCATCCAGGTTAGAACGTCTGAAAGCGGCGGCAGAAGCCGACCCCAGAAAAGGTATCTCGCAGTCCAACGCCTGAATGCGAGCCGTCCCTCAAGCGTTCCTTTTGTGTGAACGGCTCGGCGGTGATGGACATGATGCATACTGGTGGGTGACGGGGTGGTCTTGGCGTTGTTTGTCGAGGTAGCGTGACCTTTAATTAGCAAGCCAGCAAGCAGTCGAGAATGGGGGCCAAAATGCCATGTTGCCAGTATGCTGTAGCTCGAAGTTTGACTTGACTTCTGCCGTCGATGCAGACGGATGCCGGGGGTGAGTGCAGGGATACCGTATACTCACTTCACGGACAAGGCGTTTGATAGCGTGATCAAATCAAGGGATGAACAGCTTAGCTCAGCCCGTATGCAATGAAGTGCGGGATGAGATGCGACTCTGGGCGTAAGGATACTTGGATCAACGGCCGGTTTTCGGTTCGAATGGTTTGATGTGCTTTGGGCACGCACAGTGACAGCCATGCAGATTGGCTAGCTGGCAGGCGAGAGTGAGCGAGTAAAGGTGGCCGAGGAGGGGATTGGGTAGTATCAACACACCGAATTGACGGTCACTGTAGGTCCCCTTGCAGGTCTCGCAGGTATCGCGAGAGAATGACGGGCCAGCGAGGCGGTAGGCGGAGAACGGCATGCGGCATGCGGCGACATGCTTGATGCTGCGGCCCAAGAAGGAAGACTGATCAGGTGATGTTCTGCGAGACATTAGTTCGTGATATGACAGACGCAGATCACGAGTTACCTGGCAGGACAAAGGTCTCAGCTTATTGACTTTTGCCGAACAGCTGGCCAATGTAGGGATGACAAGCAAGTGCCCATCTTGGCAGAAGCATGGGAAAGAAGAGCGAACGACTGCAGGACAGGGAAGAAGGCAGCCGTCTCCTGCAGCAACTGATGCCCACTGCATTGTTTTTTCCCTTTCTTTCATTTCTGAGCATCTTGAGGCATCGAGATGAGGCGGTAAGCTGCAGGAAGGCGAGAGTCGGAAGGCAGATCGAAGGTCGGGGAGGGCTGAGGACTGGTAAAGAATCCCGACTGAGGGTGGATCCCAGTGAGGGCATTCGCAAGCTGCACCAAGGCCAAGGTTAGCTTGGTCCGCGTTGGTAGAAGATTGCCGAGAAACATTCCCGTTCTCGGCTGTGTCTTCCCACGTAGTTCATGCTGGAAACTGGGGGCACCTGTGGTGTTGTACTAAGGCATTGATCGCATGCGCAGAACGGCAAACGGCTGAAGGGTCAGAATCGAAACACCCAGAACGCCTTTGAACAAGGACATGCGGTCAAATCATCTCCAGGAATGAAAGTGAGGTTAGTAGAGTTGAGTCGAGGTATTCGCGTGTACTCCGTACCTGGATACCTTTCCAAGTGCTTCGTGCCTGCCTTGTCCACTTACACCGACGTACCCAGTACCCCATGTCTTAGGTAAGCTGGGGGGGGGGGGGGGATCTTGGGGAAAGCCTCGAAGGACTGGAAAGACTCGGGTGGGAAGGAGGGGATGGTATGTACATCCTCCCAGGCTGGGTACCTTTACCGCACCAAAGGTATCCGCACCTCAGCCAGACATGGAATGAGACTCTGATCTCTGCTTCCCTTTTTTTGTGCTCCTTGCTTTTTCCAAAGGCACATGGCCTTAACGACCCGCGATCTTCGCATACAACGTGCCTTCCTTCTGCTTCGCGCAGCATGATCCCATACATACGAGGCAAGATGCGCTGCGTGTCTATTGATGTTTTTCCTAATCTCAGGCAGGTGTGTTTGTGCAGATTCGCTGTCTTGGGCAGGTGCTGCTGCACCTGAGAAAACCACGACCCAGCCATTACCAGCGCCAGCATCAGCTACGCTTGCGTATCTGCATGTTCTATTGTCTGCGTGTCTAAGTTTGTGTGAGCTTCCTGCCCACAAGAAGAAACGTGTAAGTGGCAGGTCCACCGTCCAGGCAGAAAAAGACCAGTCAAGGATTCAGGACGGGACGTTACGTGCGTACGGCTGGTTCCTAGAGTCTACCCATACTCCCGTCCTTGTCGAACCCGTTGCCTCACCGACTGCATCCAAGTTCGGGACCCCAAAGAGACGCATCTCGGATCGACAACCACGGCTAAGAAGGGAACGAAGTCGTGTTGTGCAACAGAGTGAGAAAACCAAACGGCACGACAAAGGCGGGCGGGTCGCAGAGCGGAGAAAAAAGGAAGTGGTCGAGGCGGAGAGAAGAGAACATCTTGGCCCGCAAGGCGGCTTGCTAGGTTGCCAGAGCGGAAAAAGCAACGTTGTCAGTCTCGGTCAACCCTACATCACTCCTCGCGCATCACGCCCACCGCCAATCTCACCCTTGGACGTATGCTTCCTTTTTCCGCTCATCGATTTCCTTTTCGCCAGCAGCATTCTCCCACCACCGCCTCAGACTAGGTATGCCACCCACATCTCACCTGCCGACCACTGGGCGAAACCAAAGTCGATGGGTATCCATACCGCTGTGGTCGGAGCCATTTCTTCATGCCCAAGTCTTGAGTCTCTTGACCGATTCTTATCGGCCCGCACCCCTCAGTGGCCGCCTGGTTGTTGACCCAAGAAAGTCAATCGCCAATCGACACAACTGAGACAGACCCTCCGGATCGACGACAACTGACATGACAGAGAACACAGACAAGACAGCCTGTCAGGACTGAGACATGCCGACCTTGACTGCCCATCAATCAAGCCATCAGGCCCCATTTGGGGCACAACCTACCTGCAAAGCTCAGAGTCCAATGCGACAGCTGATACAAACGCACCTGTAACTTACGCACTACCTACGCAACACTTACACCCAAAGACCTAATCCCCAGGTTGCAGCAGCCGCCTGCTCCAGCCTCCAGCATCGTCTACCCGCTGTGCCCGCTGTGCCCGCTTCGCCGCGCACAACGTACAGCATGACCTCGATGCAAGCATTGGTACATGCAGCCCGCAGTTTCCAGTCAATTGGGACGGGAAGGACGGGAAACCACATCGTGGCACGCTTCCGTCCTCTGAGGATACGGATACGTTACGCAACAAAGCTTGGGGCTCCGCTCGTGCTCGCGCCGCCTCTCCGACTTGGAAGTCGTCTCGCCTTTACGCGAAGTGATCACCATGGGAAATGCGGTCTTACGATTCGTCCGGCAAGCGGGCGTACTCCCCCGTGCTGGATAAATTTGCTGCAAACCACGGGCTTGTTTGACCCTGAAAGTGCTCCTCGCAATCAACCCGGCCGTTGGGTTTCTTGGGAGCAACCCCTGCTATCCTCCCCCACTCAACCCGGGATCCCAGGAGTACCCGTACCCAGCAACCCAGACGACAGGTCCAGCGCCGCCAGCAAGAGATGATACCGCCGGGGGTGAGGAAACTTCCAGAGCGCTGGTCGGCAGGTCTTTTACATTGTCGTCACCTCCGCGTGCGCGGGGCTTTCCACCCGACCGGACTGCAAGTTGCTGCCCAGCGATTAACAGTCGAGCCAGGAGAGAAAGTACGTGAATTCGCTCGTATTATGATCAACAATGCAATACACTCATCTCAACTCATTTACGCTGTTCATTATCAAGCTAGCCGCTGGCTGTTATTGGGCAAAAGGCAGATAATCGGCCTGCCGACCACGCAGGCTGCACCCAAAACACCCGAGAATTGCCTCGTTGCCTCTCTCACCGTCTCGCCAACTATCCGTACTCCGTACACAATACACCGCACCATCCCTGTGGACCGAGGGCAGCAATATTCGTACGCAGTGGGTGACTTCTCAAAACCCACTCAACCTCATTTAGGAAGTGGTAGAGAAGCTCCAAAGGATCCACAGAAGTCTTCGAAGCATCAGCATGGAGACGAAATGGTGGCCACCAGGATCCCTCCCCGGCAAGACCGAAGATGATTCTGAAACCGACGACCAGGAGTCAAGGTTCTATGATCAGCCTTTCAAGCAGGGACTCATCCTGACCTGGCTTCAACTAGCGAGCCCCGTTCCTGACGTTGACAGGTCATGTGGTTGTACAATTCCAAACCGGCCGTCCCATCGGAAGTGAACCACCCCTTTTCTGGATCCCGCCTACACGCGGATTTAGCTAGGCTCGGTCAAGGGAGAACTGGGAGCACATCCCCAGCCATTCGGCTGCTCCCCTTTGATGGGTCGCCAAGCGCCGCGTGGCGAAGGGCTAGGAGACTTTCCACTACCCCTGAGATCCGGTCATCCGGGTCTAGAGAACATTGCGTAAGAGCGAGGATGCGTACTTTTTCGTACCTATACCGTTGGCCGCTCGGACAAGTTTGCAACAAGCTCGTCGGTAGTGCTTTTCGCTCCAGACCAGCGAGTGCAGTGCCAACTCTAAGGATGTGGTACGGATGCTAGTAAGATGAGCAAGCTGTTTGTCGTACGATCTCGAAAATGACAAGTTATGGCGCACCGGACCCCGGAAAATTTGTTGTCTACGGAGTATTGTCTTCACTTACAAGTGGGACATGATGCTATCCGTTGAGATCACGATCCTAACCGGGCTGTCGCATCTCATAGGACCCCGGGTGCAAGACACAATTGTCCAGTATTGATTCGTCCGGAAGAGAACTATTTACCGGCACTCCATTGCGGTGGTGAATCCATCACAACTGCTTGAACGAAGCCGATAGAGTTTGGGCGATTAGGCTGCCCCATCGATTAACGACGTCAAAGTTTTGGTAGAAAGCTGCCAACATCTGGTTGAACTTTGGAGGTCTAGTTGAGCATCACCTGCATGACATACCTACATCCATGATTTGACCCCCCTGCCTGTAGCTAGTCGCCCTCTTCCCCGGACCGGAACTCTGTTTGGCCACAGCTTTCTAAGAGCTCCACGAACTGCTTTCTACTGATGAAGCATGCACGGGACAAGATGCAGCCATCCATCGCATTTTCTCCTTGGTCTGCTGCTCTTCTGTCTACCTTAGGGGAGAAGCGAGTCACTAGGCCCTCTCCGCAACGAATATTCTCCTTGTCGTTTCCTGACGACGGAGAGAAATTTCCTGTTGAAAGATGGATATGATGATAGTCGGCGACGGAGGGCCAGAGAAAAAACGGGACCGGTGAGGAGAGGAGGAGAGGATACAAAACGGTACCTTTGCACTGATACATTCTCAGAACCAGCTACCTTGCGTTTCGGCACCAGTTCCGGCACTCGCCCGATCAGGGCCCAGAGGAACGGTTGTATGGGGGTGCTTGGACGCTTTACTGGGATTCGATACTGGGTACCCCTGACCTAGCGTGGAAACGAAAGCCAATTTCCCTGATTGCGATGTACCTTGGAGGGGATCACCGCCATTTCGTTTTGCGGGCCGACTTTTGTTGGTGCTCGTGGTAGCTCAGTACGGGTGCTCCAGGCTCAGCTTTCTTCTTCGGCGGTCGACATCACTCCCAAATTGCACGATAACAGTTGCCGCCAGGGCTATGGCCACCTTGAGCCAGGGTTGTTCTGGGTTCACCAACGGCGAAAGCGCGGATGCTATCCGGTCACGCTTTGTTTGGAGGAGAGTAGTAAGGCAAGATGGAAACAGTTCCACGCCGCTGCAACAACCTGCCCAGCACGGCACACCTCTGCGCAGCGCGAGATCGCAGACAATGGCAAACTCTGTTTCCGGAAATGGATTGAGGGAAGAGGTATTCCGGCTTCCGGTCCCAAGAGCCCCGGCAGTGGGCATGACACAGCTGGTACAATTGCTCTGGTGTATTCAGGGTTAGCCAATACTTCCTCATTGAATACGGGTAGTTCACGACGCCACGAGAAGATCGTCCATCGCAACAAGCATCCTCTTCGCATAAGGTTACCGAAGTGTTGCCAACTGTGACTAGAATGCACCCGTGTCCCAAGTAGAGACACCAGGCAGATGTTGCCCTCACCTATTCCGTGGTGGAGGAATATTTTGGGCGCAATGATGCAGCTCGGGGAAGAATACCAGCCATGCCACATGGTTTTGGACAGGGACCAGCCGTCATCAATCCACTATATTTGTACGGAGACTCATGTCCTGCAAACTGGGGTAGACCTCGGTTCTGGGCTCAGCAGTGGAAAGCTGCGGCGCTGACGGGGGAAAGGGGGCAAGATGAAGAGGACGAGGGACTCTGCTCTATGCGTACGAATACACTAATTACTGTTGATCCGTAGGACACTCAGGCACTTGGCTCGAAACCAGCTCGCTATGCCCAAGCTCGAGCCCTAGCCTGTAATTCTCGCCAACAGACGCCCTCATTTTCCGCGTCTCTCAAACTTTGCGTTGACCTTCAGCCCCTTGACCTTGTCAGATGGACCATCAATAATAGGAGTGGCAAGTTGGCAAGCAGCACACTCCTGACTATCACCTACCGTCCCGGCTTCCGCGACGCCCAAACAAGCTATTTAATCAACGAGTTGTGGCCACTGTGTCCGAGCGCTCCTGCAAGATGCCGAGCAGACCAAGACCCCTATGAAGCATTGGGAAAGAAAAGCAATTGAAGTGATGAACTGCGGCAGTCACCCAGAGCGACAATTAAACAGCCTCGTCTTGCTGCAACAGCCTATCCGGCTAGAGTGGCTGGGAATGCGAGATCTAGCAGCGAGGATTCTGCGAGCAGGGTCAGAGAAATGACGGCCAACGACCAGGGTTCCTTAACCCTTGTCAAAGAAGAAAAAAAGACTTTTTCCATTCATCACAACCCCGGTTGCTTCATTTGTCGGCTCGTGTTTACAACTTCACCGACACAACGGATGCCTCTGGAGACGGGCCAACACTGCGGCCTGGTCTACGTAGTATGGATATTCGTAGTGTACATACCTACCCAGCCCATGCTGGCCCAGTCCGTTGGTTCGTCTCCATCGCCCACTTGTCGCTGTTAATCAAGGTGACACCAGGGCTATTTCGTGCTGCCCCATGCTGTGGGAACAAATGAGGACTGCAATTGTACGGAGTAGTACTCGACGACTCGTACCTTCAGGCTTCGCCAGGACAACGTCAACACTCAGTCACGAATCCGTACAGGATAGTAAAGTGCACTACAACAAGCACGTGAGTCCACCGATCCTACCAGTCTATTCTCCGGGTGCCGACGTGTCGGTCGAGTGGGCAAATCCAGGATGCGAAAACGCCTGCCGAGAGTCTGAACCGGGGCAACGCGATTGTCATTGAACAGGACAGCCAGCAAACAGGCTGACTGTTTGCCAGCGCAACACAACCCTCTTTGCTGCGGAGTAAGATGCATCGTCAAGTGACCAGGCGTGCGCAAGTAAGATGCCGACATGTCACGATATGACTCTTTGAAAGAGGGGATAGCTAAAGGGACGGATGAGAGACTCAGGTTGGGCTTGCATTGCACCGCCTGAGTCGGTTCGTTTGGGTGTCCGTTCGCCTTACAACCTCTACACCGTTGAAGAGGGGGTCCCTAAATCAACCGCTCGCGCGCAACAAAGGTGTGCTGTTGTCATTCCAATCGGAAGCTGTCATGGTTAGGGTGCATGCGACCAACAGGACCTCGAGCCGTACACTGGGCGCTTGAGCAAGCAAGCTGCAGCAGTCTTGAGGGTCGCCCTCTTCAGACGTCACGGCACATACCCCATCGACGCTACCTTGATTTACAGTCACAGGCGGAATCACGTCTCGGCCGATAGAGCTGTGCGACCTTTGAGAGGCGCCTCTCCACAATCGCATACGGCCGCTGCAAGCACCAGTACTGTGTGACTACGGATGCTCTCTCGTATTCAGCAAGACGCCGAGGCAAACACATCTACGGGGCCGTACGTTGTGCATCTAGCAACACGTATCCTTACTACCAAGATGAGCGAGTTGCGAGTCTATCTATACAGGCCCCTACGTCCTGATTCCAGAGATCCGGCAGAGAGGCTCCGAGTCAGTGTGCGGCGGCAGCGGCAGCGGGAAACCGTAACGGCAACGGCTTCTTTCCCTTCGAACAGCTCAAGGCCGACGACGCTGGCGCAACAGGTGTCGATATCCGCCGGGAGGGACACTCCGCGGCCCTGGTCCTGCTTTCTTTCATTCACCGCCTCACAAAAGCGGACGACGAGGTGGTTCTATCAGCCCGGCCTTGTTACTCAGATCCTCGGCGCTCTGATGCAGGCTCTCTGGGGCGTGATAAGCTCCGCGTGCGACAGGAAGCATACCCGCGTCCCACCTCAGTTTGCCCAACAATAGGGAGTCAGGGAAAGCTCCAGAGGAATATTCAGGATGATCCGTAATGGAAGCCCACCCCTGATGTCCCAATCAAATGGCTGCAAAGCTAACGTCTTGTATTTGTGCTGCCGCTCACCGCAAAAGATCAGGCACAGGCAGCGCGGGGAACAGGATTAGTTCACCCTGCTAAGGAGGCGGTCTATTACTGAGCCACAGGGACAGCCTGGGTTTTTTCCCCATATCGCCCTCCCTCGACAATACAGTCAACTAGCGTTTGACCAGCCCTCGGTCGGTGGTTTCTTTCATCCAACAATCCAATGTCGACCCCCCCCCCCCCCTTGCTACAGCCTACAACAAAGCCAGCCATGCGACCCAAGTGCCGGGGGTTGTGAACCTTGGGCTGTAAGTACACACCTTGCACCTTGGGTGCCTCACATCGCAGACAAGATACATCATCTCGTCTTCTCGTCCGCCCATGGAAGGCCGGGAAACAACAGTACAGTGTCGAGATGCTCGTCTCGCTACCCATCAAAAGGCGTTTGACAGAAGGGCACCATACCACAATGACAGTGCGCATGGTTCTAGTATTCAAAGCACAGTATGCAGGTTGAGAATGGTCTGGACAGACACGACCGAAGAACCCAAGGCTGATACATGCTGGTAAATGAAGCCCGAAACCCGGGTGGTTATTCGAGCTGGATTTTCCGAGACAAGCACATTGTGTCCAAGGCTATCCGTACACCAATACCTACTATGGTACTCCGTGCACCTCACGATGTAGTTGCCACCAGAGCAGACAAGGCGAGATGGGAGCAAGGGACCGGGATCAGGACGGAGCAGATGCCGTTGCGTTGCGCATCACAGGCTTTTTGGCATTACGATGCGATGCGATGCGATGCGCTGCGATATGGGCCAGAAGAGAGTGACGGGCACTTGATGGACGCGTAGTCGCTACACAGCGGCCATCGACGAAAGTGCAGGTAAATGTTGGCTTTCGTTTCCTTGTCCTGCTGTAACCTGTTGCGTCGGTTGGCTAATTTTCTTTTGCTTTTCTTATTTCTGGCGCCCTGCAACTACCCACACCCCAATTCCGAGTTGGCTCCATTTGCTCCAAAAAGTCTCCCTCTCCCAAATCCAGCCCAGTCCCATCGCGGCTCTAGCCTCGTTGCCTCTTGTGAAACCTTTTTTATTCCTCTGTTGATCCTTGCCCTCCGGTCTGGCGCCATCCTTCCCCGAGTCTACCACCCCTTGCCTACTTTTCCTACTCCGTCCATGTCGGTCTGGTTGAGTACGTACTCTCTTCGTCTGGTCAAGGGAAGTACTCTTGTACCTTTCGGATACTCTCTCTCTCTCTCTCTCTCTCTCTCTCTCTCTCTCTCTCTCACTCTCTCACTCTCACGGCTTTTTCACTTTGTGTATGTGTGTGTGTGATGTGTGTGTCTCTCTCTCTCTAAGTCTCCCTTCCACACACACCCACACCCACATATCCGCTCGCTCCGAACCCCATCCTCCCCTTGACACCACTGAGCTGCTAACAACGGATTGCGTCTAGGGAATCTCATCCGGGTAGTACCCGTCGCGTAGGTAGTGGCCGAGCCATGGACGTACCGACTTACACTTATCCACAGTCGTAAGGCGAACACTCATGGCCTTGGGACCGTCATCTCGACATGGGTAAGGGGGCACGCCGCGCCGCACGCACACACATGCCTACACACTCACACACCCCCCGACTGCGCATGTATGGAGAAAAAAGCCCACCGAGTCTTGTCTGGGGGGTACCCCTGGATCAGGTACAGGGCTTCTCAGGCCCCACGGCCGTCATGCCGGGCAGTTGGATCCCTTCCCACGACGTGGGACCTTTCGCCGCCGCATCTCCCTGAATCCCTCCCCGGTGGACAAGTGGGAGGATCGTCTTGTTTCTTTTTTGCGCTGGACATGCCATGGACCATGGTCACCGCCGTTCCAATCTTAGATCCAAATTTTTTTGCTTCCTCGACCCAGGCAATGGTACGGTCCCGGTGGCCTGTCCCCCAGCTGGGTCTGGTCTGTGTCTGGGGTGGCCCTGGGCTTTGACGTCTCTTGGTCCTCTCATCGTCACCGTCCGCGCTCCCTTCATATTAAGTTGCTTGCTTCCCCAGAGCTTGCTACTTTTTGTCCCATCTGATACTTTCTTTCATAAGGTAACCATCCCGCCACGCTGTCTGAATAGCTTTGGTCTCGCTCTGCTTGTTTTATCTTTGCTTTTCCACCGTTGCTTTTCATGGTTACATCATCAGTCTCGAGCATCAACACGCTTTCCTCCCTTCCACGAGACTAGCAAAACAAATTCTTGCCCACACCAATCTGGACCACCAGCTCCACGATACCGCTTTTCTCCCTCGATTCTTGAGCCCACCGAAGACGTTACAGGAACTGCAGTGCTATATATTGCAACATCGCCCACCCATCCCTTGATCCGAAATCTTTCCAACCGCCTACCGAATCTCTTTGCGCCTCACACAACATCCAGCCTGCCAACTGCGCATACACCGAGGATCAACCAAGATGAAGAGGACCGGCTACATGACGGGAGGCCGTCGAGGCGGCTCCTCGGGGAGCATGAAGTCCAAGCTTCCGCCCTTTCCCACGACACAGATGTTTGTTCTCGGTATGCATATCCTCATCCAGCGGTCTTAGATGGGCTCACCGCAGGATGCCCGCTAACACGCTCTTCAACCAGCGCTCTGCAGAATATGCGAACCGATTGCATTCATGTCCATCTTCCCCTACGTCTATAAGATGGTCGAACACTTCAACATTACCGAAGACAAGAGCAAGATTTCCGTCTACGCCGGCATGATCACATCCGCATTCACTTTGGCCGAGTTTTCGACAGGAGTCGTTTGGGGAAGACTGAGCGACAAGATTGGTCGCAAGCCTGTCCTCTTAATGGGCCTCTTTGGCACGGCCTTGAGCTCTTTGGTTTTCGGATTTGCCCCGAACTTGACGGTTGCACTCATTGCGCGAGCTCTCGGTGGTCTGTTGAACGGGTATGTCGAGTCTATGAGCCAGCCCACTGGCAAAAATTGACCTTTGGCTGACTTTGGCAAAGAAATATTGGTGTCCTGCAAACGACTGTCGCGGAGTTGGTTACGGTCAAGGAGCATCAGCGTATGTTCGGAAGTCTTTCCCGGTTACAGGTGATGAGCTAACTCTGTGCAGCCCGCGCATACACTATTATGCCCCTAGTTTGGTGTCTTGGGTAAGTTGAGTTTGTTGTGGCGAGCGTACCCCTACTACGCGACTCGCCAGAGTTCATTGACTAGTGTCTGACTTTGCACAGCTCAATTGTCGGACCTGCTCTTGGTGGATTACTCGCCGAGCCTGTTCAAAGTTACCCGCAGTACTTCAAAGCGGGCTCGATCTGGGATCAGTACCCTTTTCTCCTGCCCAATCTTTTCAGCGCCGCCACTGTCTTCTGCGGAGTTGTCATCGGTCTGCTCTTTCTGGAAGAAACCCACGCTGAGCGCAAGAAGAGGAGAGACCCCGGTGTGGAGTTGGGAAAGCGCATCATCTCGTGGGTGTCGGCCAAGAGCTGCCAAATCCCTGCGCGGAAGGCGGAGAAGCAGGCACTGCTCGACGATGATGAGCTCCCCGGCTACCGCACGAACGAGAGCTCTCCCCAACTTGTGGGATCCGAGTCTACTATCCCCGAGCCAACCGAGACTCTGGACCTCACAGAGGCATCAATCATTGACGAAATTGCTGAGCCGCCCAAGGTGATCTTTACCAGACCTGTCATCTTGAACATCATCTCCTACGGCATCCTGGCCTTGTAAGTCATTGCTCTTCACTTTGAGACTCTCATCAACATGCTTACACTTCTACCAGCCACACCATGACCTTTGATCAACTGTTCCCCGTCTTCCTCAGCACCACGCCTCGCGAGCACCCGGACGTTCACCTTCCTTTCAAGTTTCCCGGCGGCTTCTCGATGGAGACCAAGTCCATTGGCATCATTCTCGCGGTTCAGGGTGTCTACTCCATGATCTCGACAGTCTTCATCTTCCCATGGGTTACCAGACGCCTCGGTCCTCTCCGGCTGTTCAGACTATTGGCCATTTCTTACTTCTTGCTCTACCTGACGACACCCTACCTAGCTCTGTTGCCTGAGAACTTGCGAATCATCGGCATCTATATCATGGTTATCTGGAAGTGCACCTTCTCGACCATGGCCTACCCCAGCAATGCGATTCTGCTCACAAACTCGGCACCGAGCCTCATGTCCCTCGGAACTATTAACGGCGTTGCCGCCTCGACAGCGAGCTTGTGCAGAGCGTTCGGGCCGACCATTTCGGGCTTCCTTTACACTCTTGGTATTCGAACCGGCTACTCCGGACTTGCTTGGTGGACCAGCGGTGCCATTACCATTTTCGGCGCCTTCCTAAGCATGCATCTTACCGAGCCCCGTGGACGCTTGGACGAGCCTGTCAGAGATATTGAGACGGCAGTGGAACCCACTGAGATTGAGGGCTTGCTAGTTCCCCTGGACGACGACGAACACGAGGTTGAGGCCGGCCCCAGCCGGAGATCGTGATCACCACCATGATCACATACGTTGACTACCTTATCCCCCAATTTCGATACCCCGGAAAGGCGCCATGGGATTTGCACTATTTTATTTTTATCATCATTCGACAATCGGAGTTTTCATCCTACGGCGTTATTATCGACAGGAAGGGACCACAACAAGACATAGACTATCGCTCATGGGACACGACGGAAGGAATCAGAGAAAAGAGTTATTACCATCACACGATTTAATTCGGACAGGCCGAGGAGAGAGCACATACGGAAATCTCACGACTTGTTACTTGTTTTATTCCGACCATTTCCATCAGCGGGCTGCATGACTGGATTTCAGTTCTTGTTCGTTTCGACTTTTTATCAAACCTTTAGGGGGCGCTCAACATCACATCATGTATCGGGTCAGGCGACGATCCTCGACCATTTGTTTTTGTATACGGATTGTTCTATTGGACAAGGAGTTGGAAATACCATGGAGGCCCAAGGGAACAGCCGACACTGGGAAGAGATAGGAGACAGAAGACAGGGAAACCGCAAAGGGCGCAACAAAGAGAAAAAAGCAAATGGCATTTTTGGGGGGAATACCACAGAGGACCGGACGTACCAAACCAACCCGAGGAAAGAGAAGCGGAGGAGCGGGAAGGATTTTGGCAAGGAAGGGAATTTTTCTCCTCTGCCGGGAAACTCGATTTGTTCTGTGGGGGCCTGTGAAGACTTGCAAAGGTCTAGCTGCTCTTGATGTTTTAATGATGGCTTATTTCTTAGAGAATTGACGGGAGAACAACTCCTTGACAAACAGCTTTGATTACAACCGCAATGACAACCGTGACAACTTACAACCCCAGTGGTGACTGACAAACCCCCCAATGACCTGCCTACCCCGACATGCCTCATGAGTGAGTTTGAAGGCCGCGGCGTCTCTTCTCTCGGGCGGTTTCTGTTCAGCGCCAAGCGAAACATTGGTGACGTACATGCTCGTACATGGGATTGAGCGGTTTGCGGGCGTGAGACACATTCGCGGGGTGTGAAGCAAGTAATTGACTCTTTTATTCTTTTTTTTTGTATTGTCTTTTGAAGAAAAACCCGGGGTAAGGTTAGGTCTCCAAATGAAATTTTCGCAGGGTTCATGTGAAGGCGGTTCCCCGGATCCCATCCCGGTCTCATGATACAACTACCTTGTCCTAGGTGCCTACCTAGTTCTACTACTGTCTACGGGTTTCCGGCCTTGGTTCATCCGAAAGATGAGGCAGTTTGGTACGGTGCTCCCCAACGGGTTTGTGGGGTGGCAGCGGGATGGTAAGAGGGAAGGGGACCAGAAGACAGAGGAATTGGAAGAAAAGAAATCGGAACCAGAGATTGGCGCTGGGCGGATGATGCCTTGAATACCGTCATGTTTCCATTCTCTTGAAGCTCGATTGTGAAGCCGTCATCGTGAGATAGATTGTTAAACAGCTGGGCTAAATACTTGTGGGGGTCTTCACATGCGCGTTGGTCGTCAGTGTTGGCATCGCTCATTGGACGGGTACCAACAGTGCTGTTTGGTTGTTGGATCTCGTGACAGGAGAGAGGGACCAAGATTACAGTGATCGATAACGGCGAACGGGTTGTGACTTGTGATGGATTGGAGAATCCCCGTCCGTTAGCAAAGCTATACTAAGCCTATGCTGGAGCGTTGGCGCTGGGGAGTGGATACGTGAGATACGGTAGACTCTGAGAACCGAGGGGACCTCGGTATTGCTATTTGGGGGCAAATGAACGGTAGATGACAACGTCGAGGGTTTCGGTTGGCGAGATTGAAGTTTGGTCAATCCAAAACGACGGATGGCAATTACGTATTTCGAGTGCCATCTCGGGCACATCGTGAAGTGGGCGGCGACTTCAAACTCGATTAGTAAGGTGGTATGGATAATGATCCTACCGACGTCACAACACTGCGATATTGTATAGGGAGGAGGGAAGAGGACGATTCAGAGATGAAGTTAGCAGAGAGTCAGAGGTGGCGGCCGATACCTACGGAGGAAGAAGGCACCCTCTAATGGTGTGGCGCCCTCCCACAATCGTAAACGGTCCCGGATTCGACGGATAGATAAGGGGCCCCTTCTCCTTCTGGTTCTGGTTCTGATAAAGAGGCACACACGCACACAGGTGTGTAAGAGGGTGAATTGGACCCTCGTAAAAAGGGAACCAATGCCAAGTTTCAAATGAGAGCAAAGCAATTGGCTTTTTTAGCTCGGTTTCCAAGGGTATGGTCAACTGATACCCGGCGGCCATCATGGCCAAGCGAGGGCGCGCCAAAAGGCTCAGGCCGATGCGGCAGCGCGGGATGGAGTTCCCAAACGAGGCATTGCCGGCCAGGATCTCGATGATTGGTGTACTTGGTGTATGTCGTCGTGCGAGGGGGGAGGGGGGAGACAGTCGGACAGTCTACATACTCATACAGACTCCAGAGAAATTCACAGAGGGGGGAGGATTCGCATTCCTTAGTAAGGCACCGTACGCTGTCTTGTTCGCTCGTTCTCGTTTGGGGAGTTGTGGTGGCTTGAGGGGGGAGAGTGGGGGCACGACAGAGATCAAGATGAATAAGAGATTGGGTTGTTGATCGTGTCCAGTCTCTTGTGGCTGATTACTTATCAAGCTCTCTGTCCGGCCCGTCAAGCTGAATGGTAAGGTAGATGGAGTTGGTTAATGATGAAGAAGAGTAATGCTGTAAGTTGCGCAGTCACTTCTCACCTGTGGCTTGACTACTTCAACTTTCCAGCTGTCTCCAGAGACCTCCACTTTCTGTGCCAGGCGCACCACAAACTAACCGGCCGAGTGCGATGGACCCTCCTTCCTGCCATTCCTTATCAGCTGGAGGATGGAAAGAAAAAAAAAACAGGTGCTTAGGTCAACGAAAACCAATATCGCCGGCTGCAGATTGGTCCCTTCTGATTAGCGCATTCTGTCCATCAAGCTGCCCGCGCCTGCCTATCCGTCCTGTTTACCTCACCTTACTACAGTTTGGGGTGGGTGCTCTTGTCATTTCGCCGACCGCCTCCCCATAACGTCGCAGTTAGCCCGCCCGCCTCTTTCTTCACGGCTCACCTATCACCGCACATATCCCACAGCTCCAGCTCGAGTTGTCGAGGTAGCTTGACCTTTGTCTTGTGCGGGAATTCCCACCGCCGTTGAATCACTTTGTCTCTTTTCCCATCCTCCAAACAAGCTACTGGGCCTATCTATCTCTCCCTCTCGCTTGTATGCACCATCCCGCCGCCGCCGCCATCTTCCGCCGTCCGCTCTCCGCCTGTTCTCTGACCGACTCGACATGCGCAGTCTTGACCTGAATCTCGGTCAGATTCCCAACATCCAGAGCGATCCCAGCTGAAGGATCTCGCCTGCCAATCTGTATATACTTCGTGACCTTCACAGTCCCGGTCGCCTTTGCCTCTGCCTTTCCCTAGGCCCGCCGCCACCCCGTTGCAGAGAAACCCCCCTCATCTTCTTCGTCGTCTGTCCGGCCTAGAACCGACCCTTGCCTCTAGCGCCGCCTTAGTCCACTGGGGTTGGGTAGACGAGACAAGAGGTCCCTTCTTCCAACTGTCTGTGCCCACTGCCGAATGATGTGTGGAGCTGTCACTGTGCAAGTCAAGATAGCGTCGCGATAACGGCCTGGTTCCAACACTTTTGTATGCCTCACCGACGTCCAGCCTTTCCCACCTTCACTCTCCCCTCTTTCTACTCCCTCTCGCAACCGCACCTTTCGCCAGTCCTGGCCGAGGGACCTGCGCTCACCAAGAAGTCTACAGGACGACCCGTTTCTCCTACTCTCTACATCATCTAGAGTCGGCTCTATAAACCGCCCCCGACTCACCCCGACTGGCCGGTAGCCGCGCCTCCGGAACTCAGTCTCAACCCTATCCTCGTCCCAACCTTCCCCGCCCCGTCTCTTCTCTCCGAAAAGCCGACTAGTACCGTCCGATCAAGAGACCTTCACCTTACACAATGCCGGCTCATTCACCGCCATCACCCACCCTCAAGCCGACGAAGCGCCCGCGCCAAGGCTCCTACGATGTCGACGTCTCCCCGCCCCCCTCCGCTGGCATCGACCAGAGCCCGTCCGCAGCCGAACAGAATGACCCGATGGCCAATGCCGGCGCGGCTCTGACTTCAGCTGAGAAGAATGGAGGAGGCGGAGGAGGAAAAGCAGGCCAGAGCAGCAACTTCCGCAACGTGAGCGCCTGCAATCGCTGTCGCCTACGGAAGAACAGATGCGACCAGAAGCTTCCCAGTTGTGCCAGCTGCGCAAAGGCCGGCGTTGCGTGCGTGGGCTACGACCCCATCACGAAGAAGGAAATTCCCAGAAGGTATGGACTACTTGCCCGTGTAGCGTATCCGTGCCTGGAGTTGCTTAGTGCGCGCGCATGTGTGCGCAGTAGCATTGTCACCTCGATCGTTGACTGCGTGCTAATAATGTGACTCGTAAAGCTACGTGTTCTACCTAGAAACCCGCGTCGAGCAGCTAGAGGCACTTCTCGCCAACCAGAACATACCTTTCCCACCAGCCGAGAACCTGGAGCTCTGCTCACGTCCCGGCGCCGAGATCGCGAGATCGACGACTGAGGTTGCTCCCTCGGCACGCTCCGAGAGCAATGATGGACCTGGGCCAGCGAAGAACAACATACACCGCCCTGACTTGGAGAAGGCCAAAAAGGCAGAAAGCGGTGGTACGGGAATGCTTGATATAGTCAGCCCATCGAAACCACGATCACTAGCGTCGGCTTCAGGGGTCTCCTTCAACCGCGTAGTGTTCGCCGCTGTGCAATACTCCGTGTCGGATCACAACGGAACGCAGGATCGAATTGGTGGCAAGGGCTTACCGATCGGCAGCGGGACATCTATGCGCGACTCCTTCTTTGGTTTGCACACGAAACCCACGATCCGGCCAGCAAACTTCCCTGACAAGGATGTGGGAATGAGGCTTGTGACCCTCTACTTTGAGCACGCGAATCCTCAGATCCCCATTCTGCACCGAGGGGAGTTTATGCAAATGTTCGACCAGGCGTACGCTGATCCGAGTGGGCCAAAGGGAGCTCGGGAGCTATACATGCTGAATATGGTCTTCGCAATCGGATGCGGTGTGATTGTTGGCGAGCCTGTAAAATCCGAAGGCTCGGGTGCCGGACCGCGCAATCCAGCGGATGCGAACAAGTTTGGCCAGGCACAGCCAGAGGAGTACCATGCGAGCGCCATCGTGCATCTTGAGGCTTGTCTAGGTAATAGCGGCGGTGGGTTGGAGGTGTTGCAAGCTGTGCTGCTGTTGGCCAACTTTGCGCTCCTCCGACCCGTTCCCCCCGGTCTATGGTGAGTTGTGTCCCTTACCAGCCGAGCGTATTATGAGTAATGATGCTGACAAGTTGACAGGTACATCATCGGCGTTGCTGTGCGCTTGGCTGTGGATCTTGGCTTGCACTACGAAGACGGAAGCGACGTAGAGCCGGCAATGCGGGATCTAATCAAGGATGAGAACGGCGAAGTCAACGAAGCGAGGAACGCCCAGTCACGCGAGAGGGGCCGACGACTTTACATCCGCGACATGAGGCGGAGGCTTTGGTGGTGCACCTACTCCTTGGATCGACTGGTGAGCACCTGCGTCGGACGACCATTCGGCATCAGCGACCAGGTCATCACGACCGAATTCCCTTCGCTCTTGGATGATCAGTACATCGCATCGACTGGATTCTTGGAGATGCCTGCCGACTCATCCGAACCGAGCTACAAGCACGTAGCCTACCATTACTTCAAGCTGCGGTTGTTGCAATCCGAGATCCTCCAAGTGCTGCAATATAACCAGACACAGGTCGTGCGGGCCTCGGGCCAGAACCTGACCAACTCGGACATGCACACTCACCTGCCGTCGCCGTTTCTCGTCAAGTTCGACTCCTTCCGCTCGTGGCGCATCGATATCGACCGCAGGTTGTACCAGTGGAAGAACTCAGCGCCGACGCGGGAGGAGACGGGTGTGGCGTTTTCGACCGAATTCCTGGAGCTCAACTACTGGCAGGCCATCATCATGCTCTACCGCCAGAGCCTGAGCGTCCCCGCCATGTTCGAGGGCGAGTACAACACCTCCACCGAAGTGAACAGCCCGACAGCGTTCCAGGCGGAGCTGCGGGAGGACGAGGACAGGATCTATCTCAAGGTCGCCGAAGCCGGGCAAAAGATTCTTCGTATCTACCGCCAGCTGCACTTGAGCGGGCTGGTCAGCTATACGTATCTGTCAACGCATCATCTTTTCATGGCTGGCATATCCTACCTCTACGCCATCTGGCACTCGCCTATTGTCAGAAGCCGACTGGTAAGTCGATTCCTCTGATTTTGAAATCAATCGAAATAGCTCTAATGTGTAATGATACAGACAATGGACGAAGTCGACTTCACTATCCTGGCCGCCAAGTCTGTCTTCACCGACCTGATCGACAAGTGCCCACCGGCTGAGACCTGCCGCGACGCCTTTGACCGCACCGCAAAGGCCACCATCAAGATGGCCAACTCGACCGGCGGCTTCAACTCGGTGCCCCCACGCAAGATGCGTGAGAGACAATTCGAGTGGAGCTCCGCCTCAGGCGACGGGGCATCGACGTCGACTGCGAGCGTCGCACCTCGCCGCCGCCACCAGCAACACCAGTCGTCGGGCCAGGGCAACTTCCAGATGGACATGGCGCTGTCCGATACCCTCTCGTCGCCAAGCCTCTCTGTTGCCGGTGACCTCCCACCACGCCATTCCCCGCGCGCAACGGACTTCAATATGATGGCCCCCAGCCAGGGCAGCCCCTCGGAAATCGACCCTTCTTTCGTGGCCTCGCCGCCAGTGCCTCGTCGTGTGGCGACTCAGCGAACCAGTAGCGGCGGATCCTTTTTGAATCAGCAGCAGCAGCAGCAAGGGTCGTCATCGTATGGCGTAGCCGACTACCCAGACATCCAAACCATGGATTTCTTCCAGAGTTTGCAGGGTGGTAACCCCAACGGCGAGCTCGGTGGGTCCGGGGATGTGACGACGCCGCAGCTTGACCTGGGATTCGGCATCAACTGGGATAACATGCACCACGACTTCAGCGAAGGCCAGCAGATGAATATTTTCGACGGCTTCTTCTTTGGAGGACAGCAGCAGTCACAGGCGCAGCAACAGCAACAGCAACAGCAACAGTCCCCGGATCAGCAGCAGGGTCCAAACGGCAACGCTAATGGGCGAAACGGGATGTGAAGAGGATGAGACAAGCCAAAAATGAAAGAAAGAGAAAAGAGAAAATGGCACGACGCCGGCGGCCTCTTGGAAAGAGATTGTTCCACGATGACGCCTCCGTGCTAGAAATGCATTACTAGCCCTTATGATGATACCAACACAAAACGAAAACGGCTGGGAAACGCCAAAAATGGAAGGGCTGGCGTGTGTGTGTATAGGTCACGACGCCGGCGGCCTCTGGGAGAAATCCCAGTTGACGCCTCCGTGCCGGACACGCCATATCCTCTCTGTATGAGAGAGGAAGACGCCAGCCGGGCTTCATGACTTGCAGTATATTATAATGTGACGAACCATGCCCGTACGAAAGATACGGACACAGCCCGAAAACGGATCAGAAAAAGCAGGGATGGCAGGCAAGACCTTTTTTTATTTTTTTACTATTTACGAACCGGATTGGCAAAAGGAGGGCATCAGATCTTGTTCAACTCACAACACAAAAAGGAAAACTTGGTGCGGTCAGATGTATATTGCGTGGATGGACATACTCAAAAATGAACGGCGAGAGTGGTTTCGTGTTGAGACGGAAAATGGGGGAGGGAGGCTGGTTCCGTGGGCGCAAGGAAAATCTGTTGCTTGCAGTCTGATTTGGTATACCCAGAAAAGCGAGTTGAGTGGAAGGGAAGGGGGGGTTAGATGTGAAGTAGTGAGCGTGAAGGGAGGAGAGCCGGCGAGACTTGTCAGTTCTTCTACTTAGATATCCCCTTATTGGACTGAGTGAGGAAATGGACATTGGATTCGCCTCCTTCTCTCTCATCGCCAGATTGATCGTGTCGTGATATTCGAGAAAGCGTCAGTACCTCACCGAGCAACGCAAGACCAAAGTCGAATCAGAAACCTCTCACCGCCATTATACATGAACTACTTTTCAGGCAAAACCAAAAAGGAAAGGAAAGGGGGGGAATAAACTCAACCAGAACTCCGCGCCACTGCCCGAAATGGAACAACGCGCCCCTCAGAGTTCATTGGAGTTTTTTTTTTATAGTTTTTTTTAACCAACCCGACTACCTCGCACACAGCTTGACCTGACCTCGCCGACGTGAACGGGTGCTGCTGTGCCGGTGACGGGAAAGGGGATTAGATCCCCTAGGTAGGTACCTTTGGGAGTTCGAGGAAGGGGGGAAGGCGGTGGGAGGGGACGACGAGGTAAGGAGAGAGTGCAGGTGCTGGTGGGTCGTGCTATAGTCGGATGGGATGAGGCGGGTCGGAGTGGGAGCTCCCCTGGGGAGCTACTTCACTACAGCTCAGCTTTACACATTGGCTGGACTGGCCGACGATGAATGTTGTTACTTTTACATGGGCTGATGTACACAACAAGTACAATCAAGTCAAACTTATAGCTGCGTAGCTCAAAAGTCCAATACCCTAACACGGGTGGTGAAACGTACACGATCCCGTACCGGCAAGTCTTTACTGATGTTACAAACCCAACACCATGCCAGCTTGATTATCCATACTTCAAAGATGGCTCGACCCTCGCACAGCCAACACTAAGACTCTTCTGACACCTCATCAGCAACTCCTGCTAGGTTATCCTCAAGGTCCCCAAAAAAGATAAACAGAGTATCGACTGCGTCGTCCTACTCCCGCTTACTCTCCTGCCCGTTACCGTTACTGTTGGGCCGAGCCATCTGTCCAAAGAGCAAGGTGAGAGGATATCCAAAGAAGGCGCCGACAACGCACATCGCAGTTGCCAAGAGGGTCCAGGCGTGCCAGGCCCAGTACCCAAAGAAGGGAGCGATGAACTTGAGCCACTCGCCGACCTGGTAGTGATCCTCCTGGCTGACGATGAACTGGCGCTGGCGAGTGCCGACGGAGGCGTCGTCACCGTAGCCGCGAGGTAACGGGTTGCCGTTGGCGTCGATTGTGCGGGTCTCTAGGCGGAGGACGACGACGAAGTCGACGGGTGCCGAGTAGAAGGGAACGAACCACAGGCGGAAGTCTTGGCGCATCTTGACGTAGAGCAAGTTTGTTTTTTGGTCTTGGACTGTAAGGGGGTTAGCATATCTTATCTCTCTTGTAAAAAGGCTCCCCAGTACAGCTTCTCTGCTGAGAGATAGCTGGCCAGGCATAGAACATACCAGAAGACTCAATCTCCATTTCAATATTGGGGCTCAAGATGCGGTACCAGCGGTAAATCATGAGGACCAACCAACGCGAGTTGATGGTGAAGAGGAACGGGATCTGGATGTTGCCAAAGGACGGTACATGGCAGAATGGGTGGGTGAAGGAGGCGTCCTCGGTGAAGTTGGAATAGAGGGCATTCTGCTGCTTCTCTGGGGATCCCTGGACCAGGTCCCGGATGACGGTCTTGATCTCCTTGACTATAGTCGGATGTTTGTCAGTGAGGGGGACACTTTCGATTTGTCTAGCTAATATGGGAGGTCGTGCAGAAACAAAGAAGGGAACACGGCTCAACGGCTCAAGACTGAAAAGTCCATAGCTGTTGGGTTGCAGGCTTGGGGGATGGCATCCTGGGCCGTGATCTGCAGCTGGGGTTGATACAGGTGTTGGCAGCGAGGCGTTGCCGTCTTCTTGGGAGTGTTATGTGTATGAGTGACGTCTGCGTACCTGGATGATCCATCTTACGCTCGTGTCAGCGTCAAGTCGAGAAAAACGTATTATTATTTGCCGTGTGGAGCTCAAAAGTCGTAGAGTGTCTACTTCAAGCTTCTGAACGGATCGATTGGTCTTGTTGAGTTCACCGATGCTCAAGTGGAATCCGGTTCGTAATGTTTGCGTGGGAAGAGCGGGAGGTGCTGTTATCCTGTGTTTGAGAAGAACACAGACGTTCGAGTTTTGGGTGGGAAAAGATCAACGTCACAGGGAAACGCACAGAGATGACGAAAAGGGGAGGGAAAGGTCAAACGTTAAAAGGGAGGGAGAGGGCGCCTGAGCTAGGTACTCGGAGCTATATGTCGGCCGCGGGAAGGATGGAGATGGGAGCTATGATGTCTCACAAGCCAAACGCCTAGAGCTCCTAGAGGTGAGGTGGTGAGAGGTACCTTGGGTACAGTACCTGGCGTCGAAGGTGGCAGAATCGGAATTGGAGAGCAAGTCTGGTCCGCAATTGCCGGATTAGGAACGTGCCTGTGCCCGATCGTTTGATTTGTCTCGTGAAGAATTGGATACCTATCTCGTACCTGAGGTGTGGGAAGTTGTGGCGCTCTTACCCACGTCCGGGAAGCCGAAGCTCGCAGGGTGATGTCATTCTGAAACTATTTGGGAGCATGGCGTACCCTCCACACAAGTCCGGGGAAAGCATGTGAAATGCGGCTCCTGCTGCCGTCATTGGCTAATCCCATGAACAGCACTTACCAGTGCATTATTTACTTACTGTACCTTAGCTTGACTTGACGGGGAAGAGCTTACAAGCAAGGTACCTGGCATCCACCTAGCTATTGCTCAGATCATCGTCGATCTTTAGTACTTACACCTTGCAGTACCTTACCCTGGCTGCAGGTTCCCAAGAACGACGATGCTACGGCTGCAAGCAACCGGCAATCACTCTTAGGTGCGATATTTCAGTGATCAGTAAACTGACGGCTTTGGCCTTAGCATTTCGTCAATGGCTTCAGTAAGTAGGAGCAATCAGATGAAATGGAAAGAATAAGTAGTCCAGATTATATGTCCGTGCCTTGGTATCAATCGCCTTTCCACCTCATCGCTCAAAAAAAACAACCTCGAATCCCCCGCTATTTCCTTCAGATGTCCGGTCTTATGTGTGCAAGACAAAATGTGACAACGCCCGGAATATAGCAGCCTCCTCACATCGCGCACCGGCTACCGAGGCAGCACCAGCACCACAATTGCCCATCCATTGGCGTGATAACCCGATCATGGGATCACCTTAATCCGCCGTATTCGGGAAGTAATTCAAGATCATCCAAGATCCCCTCCCAGCGTATGGTAATGTATCGAAACCGAACACGTCCTTCGGCACCATCCTGCTGTCCGGAGTCACCCCACACTTTGATCTTCCATCTGACACTTCCCCCATCTTTCCTAGTCATTCCCTTCCCGCTCCGATCGGTATGCCCGGTATCCACGTGCCCATCCATGTTTGACGTACAATCGCCCTAGTATATCATCCATCCATCCATACCTATAAAAAAGGTTCGTACAACATCGTTCATCGCTCACGTGAATATGCCGCACTCACAGCACCGTAGCAGAATCTATTACAAACAAGGTCCCAACAAAAGTCCAGTCGCTAGAAAGGAAAGAGAAAGAAAGAAAGAACAACGCGATTTTGTACGATGGATAGGTAAGTAGGCCAACACCTCAGTAGTCCCGGCTCCCACGCCGGCTCTCTCCCCGGTGACTGTGCCGCCGCGAGCTACTATGGCGCCGTCTCCTTCTATCCGACGGCGAATGCTCCTCAATCACCACAACCTCGTCTTCCTCATCATCCGTCACGATCCTCGGCGGCGGAGCTCGACTATGTCTCCGCTCTTGCATCGGCGGCGGCGGCGCTGCCTCAACAATAATCGGACCGCCCGGTGCCGGCGGCCTGCTCACGCTCTCCCTAACCCTCACCTCCTCCGTCGCAATCACCCTCGCCCGCGGACTGCGATGCTTACGGTGGCGATGCCGGCTCTTTGACCGCTGCCGCCGCACCGAGACGACCGACGCGGTACCCGTGTATACCGACGACGACGAGGCCTCTACCGGCCGGCCAAAGTTGAGGCAGGTGTAGACCATCCACAACACGAGCAGAAACCCTGCGACGGCGCCGAGGGTAATACCCACAATTGCACCGGCGCCGAGGCTCGACCAGCCGCCGTACGTGGCGGGAACGACGACGACGCCGTTCGTGGTGGTTTGGCGAGGAAGGAGGGGCATCGTTCTCTGTCTCTCTCTCGCGCGCGCGCGCCTTATGTCAGAAAAGCTTGGGATGAGGCGTGATTTCTTGATGGCGTATGGTCCGTGGCGCGACGGTTAGACTCGCGCGCAGTCGTAGGGCAAAAGTCGCCTGCAGGTACGCAGTGACGGTGGATCGGATCGGTCGTTTGTTCGTAGGGCTGCCTGCACGGCTCGTAAGAGTTGTCGCAAATGTTTGTCGGATGATGCGGCCAAGTGGCGATGGGAATGCACGCGACGACGTTGGAAAACGAAAGGATTCAGGCTAGTAGCCCAAGGTTGTGCCAAACAGCGAGCGCGCGCGTCGGCGGTCTTTGGGTTGAACGGCTTTGGCTCCGACGTTGCAGCGTCGCAAAGCCTGAGACAGATTCCGAGCGCTTGGCCGAGGGGCGCCGAGTCGATGGCGACAAGAAGAATATCGCTCTAATCCGTGGATCAGCCCACGAAAATGACGGGCCGAGAAATGGCAAATTTACTGTCTGAGGCGATGGTTCAGTCCCATCAGGAAAGAATGCGGGAAGCGGATTGCTTAGCAAGGCTGTTGGGTGAGAGAAGTAGGCGGGAGACGAGGGAGGGATGGATGGGATTCATGGAAGAGAATGGATGGATGGAAGGCGCGGAGGGACGGGACGGGTGAGACTGAAGGGCGGGCATGCGACGTGTGATTGGAGCGCTGCGCCATTAGTTGCGTCTGCGCGACACCACCCGCAGTTTGCGCCTGCCTGTCACCAAAGTACCTAAGGTACACACTATACTGACAAGTGAAGTAAAGGCTTCCACTTGTGCCTGTCGTGCCTGCCTGGCGCACATCTCGCGGGAAACACGGATTCTGGCGTGGGTGCCACAAAAGGCGCCTTTCCCAACTGGGTGCAAAACGGGATAGCTCAGCGCGCCTATTGGACTGTGGGAAACCCCCCGTTTGGTCCACTGAAAGCCCGGGCCGAGGCAGGGGTCGAGCTCTGCGTTGCTGCTCAGCAACCACTATTAAGTTCAACAGCCAACTTCCCCGCTTGCCTGTGTCTTGGGGAACCTCGTTACGACTTGAGAGGAAATGTTTCGTTTGACTCGTTTGACACGCAGCGTTTCCCTTGTCAACCAGCGTCTCACTCCGAATGCTTTGTCAGAATATCGTCATTGCCAGGCTGGCTAAGATAACTATGTGCAAGAAATCCCCTTCCAATCCGCCCATCTCTTCGCAAAGAGCTCACTCAGTTCCGGTCATGAAACCCTTCTTTACCGTTCTCAACTATGACGGTGGCACGGCTTGCCCGAACTCTAAGCAGGTACCGTAAGAACGAAAAGCTCGCCAGTAGAGTCGCTAAGCATAAACAACCTGCCCTTCTTGTCAAACGCAAGGCCAACAGGCCGGAAGCAGCTTCCGGGGCAAACAGCGTTGTTGACGTTCCACGCAACTCTAACCTCGGCCGTCTTGCTGGTAGACGCAGCAAGCGGCTGTCCATTGGCACCAAAGTCGACTCTGCTGAGACGGTAGCCGTCGCCGGGAGAGCGGTTCCTGTAAACATCGTTAACGTTTGTTGCATCACGTCCACAATCCGGAAGCACTTACCAGCTGCCGTGGAAGGAAATGTAGGCGGATGATCCATTGGGGGAGAACTTGATATCCAGCGGCGCCATGTGAGCCTGGAAAGTGAGCCGCGGTGGTGTGGGAACAGTCTGGCAGTACTGGTCTGTGACGCTGCCAGTGGCGTTTCCCTGGATAACCTGGCTTCCCACCTTCACGTTGGGTACGCCCGTGACGGTGCTGGTCTCCCAGACGGCGAAGCAGTTGGGGTAGCCATAGTTTGCACCCTTCTGTGGGTTCGACGCAGCTCTGTAGCTGCCGTGGTAGTTGAGTTCCTCGCCAGGGTTGTCGTTGTGAATGTCCACTCCGTTGCGGTCCATGTTGTCCAGAGAGTTCTCGACAGACCACTGAAATAACATTAGCTGACTGAAGGCTCTGCGAGTATGCACCAGGCACTTACAATGCCTCCGTCCAGGGGGTTCTCTCCAACACCAACACTGTTTCGCAGTCCCCACCCAAAGAGTTCTCCCGTTGTGTAGTCCACAGCGCTGCCCGTCAATTTCGTGAGATCAAAGGCACGAATTTGACTGCGGCCGGATGAAGCCTCGGCGGTTGGAAGGTCAAGGTTCGGAGCGGAGCCGCGGGAAACTAGCAAGACATTCGGCTTATCTTTAGGGATCAGCAACGTGCGGCTCTGGTGGCCAGTCTGCGTCATGCCGTTGATGATAGACCTCGCCTGTCCAACAGTGCCGGCAGCAGCGTCGTAAGGGTACGCGAACACTTCGGACGCCGTTGCCGCATAGATGGTCTTGCCGTCGGCAGACAGGGCCAAGCCATGGGCGAGCTAGACAAGGACAGGTCAGTTGCTGCGTTGGTCATGAAGAGGCAAACGGGATGGCTCGGCTTCCTACATTCGTGTTGGATATGAGGGTCTTCTGAGAAGCCACGCAGACGTTTACTCCGCCGTTGTCTGTGAGCTTGACGTACTTGACACCCGTGCCTCCTTGCTCGGCGATGAGCAGGTTGCCCAGAGTGTCAAACTGCAGACTGCGGGGCCTTGACAGCCCGTTAAGGATGAGCTTGGAGCTGTATCCCGCGGCCAGCTGGGGTTGCGCGACGGGAGTGAGGTTCGCGCATTGAGCGGCGACTGTCGAGAACAGAGCTGCGCCCGCGGCAGCAAACGCTGCGAGGGATGTGAT